CCATCTGCTGACCTACCATTCTTGACAGACTTAGTGTCTGTCTTGAAACACTGTTCCTACAAGAAAACTTTGTTCCTTTCCAGCAGTAAATGGGACATTTGAGTCTCTTCCATGCTGAGGACAGGGTGTGTACCCTTTTGTGCGTATCCTTGTTGACACAAAACTGCAGGATTAAGATATTCCCATCTCAGAAGAAGACAGTAGGACCTGTACTCGATCATCAGTGTGTATGTGCATGCTGCTCTAGGGCTAGCAGTATACCTGTTGCTACCAGAGACAGCAACAGCTGTCTTGCCAGAGAGGAGCAGACCCCTCTTTGTCTTCAGTACCCTTTTAGACAATTTTCAAGCTCTTAATGCCAATCTCAAAGAACCATTAATGCCAATTTTGCAGACTCTTTGAGAGGTGGACTCTTTACCTCAGGTCTCCAGTCCAAGATCAATGCAGATGATCAAGCTGATGGAGACAGGGTTGAATCTACTGAATCTACTCTTCGGTGGAGTGCCTCAGCAAAGGCACTTATTCAAAGAAAGAGACCCCATTTGAAAGGAAAGCTGCCTTGAAAATTCACCAGTCAAGTCTAAGATGTTTGAGCAAATTTGGTATGTATATACCAAAGCAGCAATTTAATGGTGAAGTAAACTTTTATGTGCTGCAAGCCTGCTGATATACCACATCATGTAACTCCCATACTGGTCCTGAAATTCTGCTTAGGAGGAAATTCTTTTTACCAACTGCCAGGGTCCTTTGATTTCACTTCTTGCATAAGTCATCAGCTTTTGTAGGAAAGATCAGATACTGATCACTATTCTACTATTGTCCCAGTGCCTTTCTAATCTCTATGTCCTGGCAAAACTTACAGTCACTGATAGTGATCTGCTCATCACAATATCCTGTGGGAAACTGGATATCACTGGATATAGAAGCCAGTAATAGCTCTTTTTACTCTTAGAAAGTGACATAATCCAGAGTTACTGAAACTCTTTTCTTCTTCCCCCCTGCCTCTTCTTTTTTTATGTTCCCTTTTATAATCAAGAAACTGAGCCACATATTTTTAATAATGAGAATCTGGATGTAGTTCAATCTAAATTTTGAAAATATATTCCAATTAAAGACGTTAATAGACTCTTGGCTTTCCCTACATCCCATTGACATGTGCATTCAATAATCCCAAGACCCCTTTTTCCCTAGTAGTAAGTAGACTGCAGTGTGGGTGACATCACTCTCCAGAAGGTCAGCCTTCCCTGGGCTTCCATTTTCTGAGTATTTCTTGCAAAGGTTTTGTTCAGGGGGAACTTTCTTTTTCCAAACTGGCTGCAAACCTGCTGTGACTGTCAAACATGGCGTTTGTTCCTGTGAAACTGTGATGACTTTTGGATTACATGCTCCAAAAGAGAGGTTTGTTCTCAAGCCAAAGGGTTTCACTAACAGAAAGAGCATGTTCGCCCCCTTGGTAGGACAATGTGGTCACCAGTCAGGTCACAGACCTGCAGAGACTTACTGATGTGCTTTACTTCAATGGCAACACGTGCAAATAAAGTTCATGGACTGCTACATTCAGCCGCACCAGGCATCTGTGCGACTGGTTGCGATATCAAGCTTACCAGTTTATGTGGCAGCTGAAACCTATCATTGTGCAGATTAGAGAGTTATTTAATCCCTGTATGAAACAGCTGCATCCAGCACACGGAGTATCGATTTTGGTGTGTCATTGGGCCCCTTGCTCAACATACAGCTTGGGCCAAGCAAATGAGCAAAGCACTAGGATGCATGTTGAATGGCAGAAAGGATAATGTGGAAAATATTACACCTTTATATAGTTGTATTGTGTGGATGCATCTGGAATACTCTGTGTAGACTTTTTTAAAAGAAATTATTAAGAATCTGGAAAACTTCCCACTAGAAGAGAAATTAAATGACTGGTGCTATTCACTTTGAGAGGCACAGAAGAAGGACATAAAAACATAAAATAATTAAATGTATAAAGAAGGTGGATGAGAGAGAACTCCTTCTCTCTTAACATCCCACAAAAAAGGATGGACATTAGGTTGGAATAGAAAAATCAGAGCCACTTGAATGAAGCATGTTCCACACAGTTGTTTCATAAAAACATGAAAATTACAGTAACAAGAGTATCAGGGATGGGTAACACAAAGCTAACATCTCTACAAGATAGTAGAGGCCATAAAAATTTGGTACATAAGCTAAGAATCTGTAGCAATTCATAGGTCAGAACTTTATGCTGCTGACAACCCAAGCTCTTACCCCAGAAAACATAATTTTTCCTACTACAGTAAGAGGGACTCGTCTCTAGAAAATCAAAGCTGAATTCTGCAGTTCTTATAGCAGAACTGGTCCAGCAACTTCTCTAGATTTCATGTAACTGGAACCTATTGCTTTTTTCCTATCTACCACTATTCTCTCCCTCCTCACAGGCTGGATAACCATAACTTCCTCCTCATCAAGCAGTCACTTTTGCTGCTCTCACCCTGTCTCTCTGAAGTAAATATGCATTCCTTTATAGCTGCAGTGGACACATCTAGTCCCAAAAACCTCCTGTAGCCTCCTGTGCAATCTCTCAATTAACAATGCAAGGGCTAAAAGGAAGGCTTGCAATTCTTCAAATGTTTATTCAGAAATGTCACATGTTCACCCAGTTTTGGAGACAACAATGTGATTTAGAATTAAAGTATCTGTTTATTAAAATAATACCCTGAAAACTTCTAATTCATAAATATACAAGGGTGTGAGATAACGGCATGCAGCTCAGAGCACTGAAGCTTCAGGCGGGAGAGAGAAGGAAAGTCCAAGGCAAGTTATTTACATGTGAAGACTGGCTCAGGCTGGGAGGATCCAAGGTGCAAGAGCTTATTGGTGATGTCAGCTGTTAAACACCAGTGATTTACTCACCTGTCACCCAGTTCATGTGCTTGAAAACAAGGAGACGAAGAGGTATGAGCATGGTATATCCTGGTTGTCTTACGTTTGGAGGGAAGAATCACATGTGGCTTAAAGCCACCCCAGCATTTCTTGCTCTTTCTGCCAGCAATTCCAAGGCTTCCAGACCAGACCATTTGTGCTGGCCTTTGGGGGATGTCCCAGCAGTCAGAAATTAAAATAGAGTGTGTTTGTACTTTGGTTTTGCATCTATTTTTGAGACCAGGGGACAGCTTGTTACAGCAACTACTGAGAGGTGAGCACTATGATGGTTGGAATATTTCTGGTTCATTATCTTGAGCTCATTTGACATGGTCAAACGCAGAGCTCAAAGCACTTTTTTGTAATGAGTTATTAAGTTTTTGAGATCAACCTGTGAACACAACTTTAGTTACAGGCTGCCCTAAGCCTAGAGGTCTGTGGTGCAGTGGTGGTGGTCTGCACAGAGCCAGCTGGTCACAGGGTACTGGCTTGCTTCCTGGTTTTTCAGCTGCCAAACTATATTATAGCAAGCTAAAAATACATTAAATATTTTCCTTTCCTAGTATTACCTTACCACGTAAGCAATTGCTGGACTTGCCACTAGGATGTTATCTGATAACCGAGGGGAGGGGAGGGGTCGAGCCCAAATAGGGAGTGAGACATTGGAGAGAGTCTGCTTCAGTGGCTGTGACCAGGAGGAGAAGCTGTTATGTTTCTATTTAGGTGAGTGATGAAAACATTCCTGAGTGCCTTCTTTAACCCATCTCTGACCACATCTCCCACTATAAGTGCTCCTCCACACAAGCCCCTGAGCTTGTGCAAAATCTCTCCTGCCCCAAGTTGTGCCATTTAAGACCAGTTGGGTGACCATGTAAAGACCATGTAAAGACATGGGGAGTCTTACACAGCTGACTGGAGTGTGCTCTATCCTTCTCTGATGCTATGCCATCAGAAACATGATTCAGCAGGTGACCTAGGCTCTGGGGTGTTGCACGTGGAACTGAGGTAGGGGACAGTCAGCAAGAAGACAGTCCTGCACTGTATACTCTTCTGATTCTGCCCTGGTGATGGGCAGCCCCAACAGCCACCATGGCTTCCCTGCCTCTGGAGGAGACCATATCATCCTCAGATGGATTCAAGGTCTGGAGGGAATTTTTGGGGGTGATGTCAAGCTAAAGTGTGAGAGGCTGGAGAATCTGCTGCACAGGGCAGGCATTTGGTTTTGATTGTTTAACCTCACTGGTGTCACATTTACGCACCATTTTGAATTGTTTCTTTTCTTGCATGTATGTTGGAATGAAAAAAAGTATGAGGCTGCCTTGATACCTCCATTCTCAATGATCACTGTGTTTTTAACTAGATATAGCGGCAATAAAGTGAATGGGAAAGGTCTACCCCTGCAAAAAGCAAAATAGCAACACAGTCTGAAACTAGAGATGAAAGCCCTACTTAACAAGTGAGAGATGTAAAGGGCAGAAGCTATGAAAAGACACTGCATGAGCAAGTGGATAACACTTGGCTATCCAATAATTCTTCCCAGATTCTTACTAACAGAAAGTCTCTTCAGCAAGGCCACCAAGTTCTGAGATCAAGGTGCCATGATCCTGAAGGGGGGCATATTCTTGGTCTCCTAAAACTTCCATAGGACACAATCCCATTTCCCTTGTGTTTCCACACAAATAGTAAATGTTAACTATAAATGGAGAACAACGTGTCTGACATGCTTGAGCATTTCCTCAGTCTCTCTGTGCCCTTTTCACACTTAACTCATGCTGTGTTGATAGGCTGCTTCACTTAACCCTACACTCCTTCCTGCTCCTCCTTCTAGCTCTTAGGACTCTAGTTCCAGCACTCAGAAGACCAGGGAGATCAAGTGGTTCTTTTGCACCTCATAAGGCATGGCCTGTCCACCATTTCCATCTACCCTCTCTGCTCTGTCTCCTTTCATTACAGTCAAGAGCTCAATGATGTATGTGACATCCCCATTCCAGTCTCTGGACACACGGCAAAGCGTGTTGCTGCTCTTATGCCCTCTTCTTCTGCTCTTTCTACAGCTCTTTGCATTCCCTTTGTATGCTCACCTTGCTGCTTCTGCATGGTAGTGAAGTCTTCAAAGGTGAGAGTGCGCACGGGGGGCCTCCAGAAGGCGTAGGTCTCCATAATGGCCTCCAGCCCCGTCCTATGCAAAGAAAATAAAACAAGGAGAGAATAAGAATGTCAGTCAGCTGAGGGCATAGGCACTGCGGAAAGAAGGCTCCGACTTTTTTTGACAGGCTGCCAGCGGCTACCGAAAGGTCACCTTGGCATCTGTGAATTCCTCAAGTCTTCCCACACAAGTGCTGGGCACCAGAGTAAAATAAAATTTCCCCAACCCAGGATTTCAAAAGCATCAAACAGTCTCTCAATGCCTTTTTCCTTTATAAAAAGAATCTCAAGCCTCGTGTCTGCTTTACAGGAGACACATGCCTGTCAGCTCCTCAAGGCGCACTTTATCATTGACTGGGCCTCCACACTTGGTGGATGTAAGCTGTCATGCAAACAAAGGAGGTCTGGGATTCAGCCTACAGAACCAGAGATTTTGTGAATTGCCTTTTCCTGCCACTTCCTACTTCTGGAAACTGTTCTGAAGTGCTATGGGAAGCCATCATAAAGGGAATCTTCTTGGTTTTGGACTTTGACTAGAAATGCATAAGATACTCTTTAAAAATGATCAGTGACATCTCTGCTTTGGGTCCTTAACTCACCACAAAGACATAACAAAAAGAAAACACCAAAAAATTTGGTGAGAACTTTTCTTCTTGAAGGGCGGGGGTCTCAGATTTATTCTTATTTTCACCAAAAAATGCTAGCTCTGCTGGAAGTCTCTTAGCTCCACAGCCTCAGTGAGGACACAGGCGCATTATCAGGAAAAGACTCTATGTTCCTTATGAGATAAACCCCTGGAGTTTCTTCCCAGGAAAGGCTCTCCTCTGTGGAAGCTGCACACTGCTCTGTTCCCCATTCCTCACTTTCCCCTGCCTCTTTTCCAGCAGTAGGTTTTAGCCCTTGCGCTGACTGTACACTACTAGAGATTCTTCGTCAAATGCAAGAACATATCCCCTTTCAACGCAAAAGGCACTAACATCCCCAGAGCCTCTCATCAGATGTTGAGCTGACACTGGAGCTGCCTTTTGCTTCTGAAAATGTCTTTCTGCACGTGCCTTCACTCACTCGGTTAACTTTCCAAAGTCTCCCCGGAAGCTTGGATGCTTTAAATACATTGGAGTTGGCAAACTAAACTCTGTATTTTAAGAGGAGGTTTAGAAGAGAGGTTGTTGCATGGTGTTTATTAGCTGCTAAGCTGTTAGAAGTAGAAACAGAAGACATATCTGCATAGCAGTCTCACACTAGTGCTGAGCACATTACAACAAAACTATTTGGTTAATACAGTGGCCTCTGCCAGCTCATAGAGCTCAGAGACAACAAGGCAGTGCAGAATTTGAACCCATCTGCTAAGCTGGGCTCTGTGTGCAAAAGCTACCCTTCAACTACCGATATCATGCCCAGGATTTCCTCTGCTCCCTGTGTGTGAAAGTCACACATTTTCAGACTCCATCTGCTTCTCAACTCTCACAGCTGGGAAGAGAACGGCACCTTTTTTGCAGCCTCATGAAATGCTCCCTGGCCCAAACATGAAGGGAGGACTTTCTGGTACCATATATCCAGGGGCAAAAAATGTCCTGAGCAACTTGCAATGCAACTAGACCTGCTGATGAAAGGACCTGCCTTGGTGATTAAAACCACGTAATATATCCAAAAATGCAGACTGAATGTTCCAGCTCTGCTAATTCAGCTGCCCTGTGTCTTCCACAGGATCATGTGAGGAAGCAAGGAGGCCAGCTCACTAAAACCAGTGGACACGCAGTCTGGTTCAGTCATTAGAACTCCAGCATCAGACTTCTAGCTCTGCTCTCATAACACCCTTCCAGTAAAATCCAAATCCTAATGGGAGGTGGCTCAGGGAGACAGTAAAAGCAGGTTAATGCTATTACCACTGCCTCTCCCTGGAGACTACATCATTATCTGCTCAGCAATTGACTCATTCCAAGTTTCTAGCTCTGCATCTACCACCTTCCGCTGTATCAATACAGTTCTCACAGGTACCATATAATTTGAAAAGGAAAAAATAGAATAGTCAGGAGATAATAAAAGGAAGAAATAAAACAGTAAATTGGGAATAATACACTACTTTCAAGGTTTAGACTCCACTGTGTCTGTGATCTGATAGAGGGTAATTGGCAGCTTTTATTCCTGCCTGTATGTCAGGGAAAGGAAAGATGACTCCAGAGACCCACCTCCTCCTGCTCCAGGAGAGGAGTTCTACAACAGCGCCTTTGCTGTGGACGCAGTTCCTCTCACCCTTCCCTTTCCACACTGCAACTGTTGGAAACAACACTGTGGCTTTGCTGGACTCACAGATTGCCCTGAAATGCCGAGGGCAGCGTGGCAGAAGCAGATACCTGAAGAATGGATGCCAAACTCCACAGCTGGTTCTTCCTGCCACTAATGTGAGACCTTTACTCCTCCAGAACATGTGTGGAACATGCATTACAAAACACCCTCTCTGAGTATGTGGATAACAGAGCTCAAAGTTATGTACAGTTCTCCTATGCATAAATTTAACTCCCTATATACTAGAAAAATCTTTTTTTCCCATTGGTGTACAGTTTGTTTGGGTTTTTTTTTCTTTGGTTTATGTTTTTAGGGGCCTCTTTCACTTTGTGCAGAAAAAGTATCTAAGAAGAACACATCCTTACTGAACTTTCACATCCTTCCATGCATAAGACAAGATCCATGAGACAGCAGCTTCATGTGCTAACCTGCTAGGCCCCTACCACCCTGTGTATGGAGTCTTGCAAAAGAAGAACATGTAGTCATGCTAAAAACCAGCTTTTGATGAGAAGGCACACCACCTTTGTGTGACTGATTTTACAACCCTATTCCCAGCCTTTCTTCTGTCTGTGATGTATTCCTATTTTTGAAAGAAAATGTTGAGGTGGTGAGGTGGGAATCAAGAAATTTAATCCCTGTCAACTCTAATATCTGTGTCTTATGTAGCAATTTATGATATTGGTGTGCTCTCCTAGTCAGCAGAAATACTGGAGTGCTATTATGCGTGTGTGTTCCACCCCCTAACAAGGAAAAGAAGCCCCCCCTGGCCAATGAAGAGACCTTTTGGGACAGCAATAAATGCTGACAAAAAAATAATTGTTTGCAGCATTCCTGAAATCTCAGTAATACGGGGGGAGCTTTGGTGAGGGCTGCTGGTACCAAGTGTGCTGAACATAATCCATGTGGCATTTATTTTCTCTTCCAAAGAGCCGCACTGAAAAATTAACTTCAAACTATCTATCAGTCCATAAACCCTCCCCTCTCACACCATTTTTATGAAGGAAGTAAAAAGCACAAGTATCAGAAGAGGACTCACTGCCAGCTTTTTTTATTTTTTAATAAGGTCAGTCCTTTAAAAGGTATCCAAAATTTACTCTCTCTTTTTCATTCATTCTTTTATTTTTAGTGCTATAAAGTTTTAATAATAGGCAATAAATGAAACAGTTCCATTGTCTGAAAAATGAAAGGACCTATCTGTGCACTTCCATAATCCATCCCATATGGCTGATCTTGCCATTCCCACTGCATGCAGGATTCAGGTCATCATTTCATTGTTCACTGGGGAAGCCAAACTATTGGCTCCAAGTGCCCTCCTGGCTTTCTTATCCTAGACAAAACTCAAAGAGCATTTCCAGCAGAAGCAACTTGTATTCACTTCAGCTGCCCACATCTGAAAGTCAAGTGCTGTTATTTGCCTTCAGCCTTGGGTTTTTTATCTTCCATCACCCTGCTGAGTTTCCTGACTGTTGTCCCTTCTGGCTTCCTCCTGGATAAGGAGGTCCTGCAAGCATCCCACTGTCAAATCAACTTTGCTTGGTCTCCAAAAATAGGCTCTGTGGCATTAAACCTGCACCCTTGCTACCCAAATATTTGGCTAGCTGAGCTCTATATCTCAAAAACTCTAGTTTCTCAATCCCTTGAAGTTCAGGAAAGAAACCAAGTAATAACTTGACTTGTACCTCCATTACATAGGTGTCCTTTCACCACCAGAAGCTTCTCTTGTTGCATTTTTACAGATGCTTCATGTGCCTTTCCAAAAAGTGAAGAGGGACCAAAAATCAGGTAGAGGGAATCTCTAAGAAGTAGGACCCAAGACTCAGCCTTCAAACACAGGCTAAATTCCTAATCCAACAAGGCAAATGGTTAGATGGGTGAACACCATTACTTAACACGGTTTGAGTGCTCAAAGACTGCAAAACATCGTCTAGCTGCTGAGCTGTTTCTATCCTTCCCTCTGAAACCCATCACTGCTCCTTCTCCCAGCTTAAAGACTGAGGCAGTGAGCTATGAAGGGAGACACTCATGCAAATAACTGAAAGAGATCTAAGAAAGAATCTGGGAAAAGATTGCTCCTCCACATGTATACAAGCATTTATATCATGATGGGGTGTCCCCAGAGCAACAGGGTTTTAGCAATCTCTTGTAGTAATGAAGTGAGATCACAGTCATAAGGAAACGTAGGGGAAGGTTGTGAGCTGATGGAAGCAAAAGATTTAAAAGGGAAACTATTTTAAAAAAAACCAGTTAACTCCACAATTTCTGCAGCAGAAAACAACAGTGAAACAATAAAAGAATAAATAACTGGAGGGGAAAATATCTACCACCATTTAATGGAAGAATCTCCACACAAAGCAGAAAGGTAATGTCCTAGAGAAGAAGTGGCCTAAGAGTTCCTTTTTTCCCAATATGCTCTGCTTTTCCCAGGGGGATTCTTTCCTCCATCATTTGCTGGCAAACTCTAACCATGGCTCTGATTCAGTATCCCTATGTCACTGGGATATGATGTCCTGGAGCTGCCTCAGAATTCTGTGCCTCCTGCTGCTGCCACACCTTTTTTTTTTCCTTAAGACCTTCTAAAAACCTTAAAACCTCTTGGACATATACTATTCAATTGCCTGCTTCACAAATGGCCCCTTCTTCAAATTAACCTGTTTCTTTTTCAAAGAAGGCCTACATTTTCAGTGGGACATTCTCCAGCCACAGTCTGATGCACTGCAGTTGACCAAAGTTGTGGGAAGGATATGTGAATGATGTTTGAGGGTGTGGGAATTTGCAGAGCATCATGACTGCTAATCCAGCTGACCAGTAATCCTGATGAAATGACAAATTCACAAGGGGAAGAGCCATCCAGCACAGTTAAGAGAAGTCCCATTTGGAGAGTCCTCTCCCCACACAGCTTAGACCTGAATGTTTTTCTCCCTCCTATGTGTACGTCTATGTATGTGTCCTCTTGAAAGGGAGCAGCTGAGCATTAATGTCTTCCACTAGCTGACAACAGCAGTGCAACCTTAGCCAGACCACTGCTTGTGAGGCAGGCGCCTGACTGCTATATATGCTTGCAAATACCTTTGCCTGTTTTTTTCTTCCTAAAGCCTCAGGCTGCTCTCTTTGATGTGTAATACCTTAAAGATTTTAATTCCTCTTTACATCAGCAGAAAGCCTTACTGAGCCCTCCCCACAGCTGCAGCCGTGTAGCAATTTCCTGCCCTTTCTTAAATCAATGAGCTACAAAGATCAGTAATTCCCAACTTTTTCAGGAAACTGTCCAAATTCACTGAGCTAGGACCTTATTAATGCCTTCCATGTTAATATAGCCCACCATGTACCTGGAACTGCATCAATCCTGTTCCAAACCCAGCCCCCAGTGCAGCTGTATCTCTGCACACAGATCTTGTACCTGGGACACATCCTATTTCCCACATGCAGGAGAGGAGAGCAGAGTAAAAGTCACATATGTCTCGAGGAGAATTGATGCTCCCAGTGGGGATTAAATGAGAGCGGTAACATCTTTTTGCATAGCTTCTGTAAGATGAGAACAGAGGAACTGAGCTAGGAAATCTCTAGGTCGGTTAGTTGTCTGTGACCATAGAGCGTGTAGCATTACAATGTGTGGTGGAAAACACAGGGACTGAACACTGTCCTTAGCAAACTATAAGGACGTAGTGGTCCTGGGGAACACACACAACAGGAGCATGCAAGTAAAAACTGAATTACAGTGCCCATGGGAACAGCAAATGAGGGTTATGCACATGACTTTCACTCCGGCTTGCAGAATCTTGCTTTACAACCCTAGGCTTCTTGTAATGTACTCATATATGTCTAATTCTATAATAAAATTAATGTTTAAAGCCTTTGTCACACTGATTGAAAGGATACCCACGTCATTTAGATATGAAATACTCAGAAAGGCTGCAAATTCTTCTGGATTCATGAACGGCAGAAAAAGTTGAAACTTTGGTTTGATTTTCTTTTTCTTTTTTGATAACTCTGTAGTGTCTTTTACTATCACAATAGGGGTTTTTGATTAAAGTTCCTGTTTAACTATTACCTGTTAAAATACTTTTTTTTCTAAATAACACTCAAGGTGTTTTATTTAATCTTTTCATAAAAATCCTGGCAAAAATCAAGCGACACAGTCAAAGTGAAATAATCTGACAACACTTCAGAAAAACAGGAATTGTTTGAAATGAGAACATTTTTGCACTTTTATCCTGCAAACCTATCACAAAGTCATTTTTTCTTCTAATGTAAAGCAAGCATTTGCACTCTAAGTTTTGGCATTTCCTGTGAAAATTAAAATTAAAAAATGCACTTCAGCCAGCTCTACATATAACAAAGAATAAGCTATTATTTTGCACAGTGTTAGACTGTGACCTATTTGTCTGTTTTACAGTCTGCAATCCCTCATTTTTCTGTGTTCTTCATTTTAATAACAAAAAAAAAATAGGAAACTACAGTATCTCTACAAGTTCATTAATTTTACCTAATTCTTTAGATATCATGGTACCACATCAGCAATACATGAACAGTTTACTAACAACTTATCAGAGATGCTAAAGAATGTTTTAAAACATGAAAATCATAGAAATGAGCATAAATAAATTAATTTTCCAGGACATAAAAAAAAGGAAAAAACCCACCAGCAAAACACATATACAAAATAACAGAAGGGACATTAAGGTAGAAGCAAAGAGAGAACTAAACATACAGCAGCAAAAAAATACAGTCACAGAAAAAAATGTTATCAAGCAGGAAAGTGATAAGCTGTCTTTACAGATATGTTGTCTAAGAATATCTAAACCCCTTTGTCAGGGTTTGGGACTGCAGAATCCAAACAGAGGTAGGAGCAGCACTGGAGGAGACTTCTGAAAAGAAATGGAATCAGTCTAGCTGTTTAACCTGGGAAGTATTTCCTAAAGAAGCCATCATTACACATTAAATCTGTTTAGGTAAAATAAAACAGTCCTTCTAATTCCTCTAAGAACTATTCTACAGCAAATTTCTCCTGTAAAACGTAATTATGATCACAAGATGCCTTCCTCAACTTTAGACACATGCCCTGTGCACTCATCAGGGAAAGGAGGGAAGAGATCAGTGAGGAAACACAAACAAGTTCCTGTTACCTGTTTCTCCCAGAATCTCTGAAACCTTTAGCAAAGGGGTTTCTGTCAATTTTTAATCTGGTGATCTAAAAGGAAGAAAAAGAGAATTAGTTGATGTCTTCAAATTTTTCTCTTTAAACAAATGAAAATTACGGATGATTATCACTCTCACCCAAGCCACCTGTACAGTGATTTTCCATACTGATTTCCCCAGACTTCTGTTAAAGTTGCCCTTCCATTATCCATGAATACACTGTCTACTTACAAGAGAATGGCACCAGAGACAGAAACCATGGCAGTATTAGGAAACCTGGCACAGCACTGGGGCTGAGAAGTTGTTCCTGAAGGAGAAGCACACCTTGGACCCAGACGCAAAGCCCCAGGAGCTCTAATTTGTCAATGTCCACGTGGTTTGGGAAGCAGGCATACTGCTCATGTTTGGCTGGTATCTGAGTTATCCCAGCCTCAACTCTCTAGATATCCAGCAGCTGGATGTGCTCATGAACCTTCAAACAATGCTAAGGAGGAAAGGCCTAGCAAAGCACAGGCTACAGCCCCCAAAGATGGCAGCTGGCCACCCGGTCACACGTACAGGTTGCTGATGTCCTGGTCAGCATCTAGGTGGCTTCTCAAGAGTTTTCCAGTCTGGAAATATTTTTTTATTTTTCTTTTTTTTTTTTTGCTCCTTTAAACAAAGGAAGGGGCAGCCAGACTAACTGCTTTGGGGGGGAATCTTCCTTCATGCTTTATTTTTAAGCATGAATTCCATATTGGTAAATATGAAAAATAGTATGAGGATTTTGACCTTGCAGTCCGTGGTATTCTACTCACTGTTGGCTATTCCACAACCTGGTGTAGCACAAGAGCTTTCCTCTGCCCACCTCACCTTGTCCTGGAGATTCTATCTCTGGAGTGAAAGGAGAGTGAGATCTCCAGACCCTATCAAATTTGAGGTTTTTTGCTGAAACTGCTCAGAAGGGACTAGTTTAATACAGTCTGATCTGAAGTGGATTTGCAGGTGTTTTGCTTCTGTCAGAACCAAGCCTTTACTCTGAATATGAACCTCAGATCTGGAATGCAGCTCCTATTTTTGCAGAAGCTTAATTTGTGAACTTAATTTCCGCTAGCCTGACTTTGCAGCTGTCCTGGGACTTGCGTGTACAGACACAGATATGTTCTGTAGAGTATGGAATTACAGCAGAGGGAATCCCTGTGGTGGATTTGCTAACATTTTACAATTGTTTCCAGAGACACTTCTCCCGGTAAGACAAAGTTTTACAGCCACTGGAGGGCATGCCGGTAGATTCAGGGGATTTAAATTCGGGTTTAATGAAAAGGTTTCTCCAGCCCACTAGAATCTCCTTACTGGTATTATAAAAATGTGATTGTGTCCCCCAAATTTTTCTGGACAAAATCCCCAAATGCTTGGAATTCAGAGAGACAGAAACTTTAGCGCTTATTTAGAGAGAGGCAGCTTATGGTACCAATCCGTGACAGGGATCCCTCCCTTAGCACCTCCCTTACCTGTGTAATTATGTCTTATAGGTCTGGTCATGAAGGAAAAATGACAGGCTTATTTCCTCTCATTTCTTCTCCTTCTCTATCCTCTTTTCATGTCTGGTTACAGCTAAAGTTTTTGGAGTATATGCATTTGGCTGAGAGGGGTAGGAAATTTCCCATACTGCAATTACAGAAAACCCACCATCATGTTCCAATATTTTTGATCCATTTCAGATCCTTATTTAAGTCAGTTTGAGGGGACCAGACTGAGAAAAAAAGTTAATAATAATGGGAAGAAAAAGAAGCAATCATGGGAGCATTGTCAGCATGTATGTTGCAAAAAACCCCCAACTCTATGACATTTCAATAAATTGTTACAATTCACAGTTGTTAGAAATTGTTTAAATATTACAATCTGCCTTAAGCTAATTTGTGTCTGTCCCTCAGTCCAAAAATACTGAATATAATGACATCCACTGAGTTCATGAAGTCATACTCCACAAGCACAGCTGTTGCCATGGAAAAAATACTAACTTCATAATTTTTTTTCACCAGCTTTTTTCCATTCAAGACTCCTCTGCAATTCATGGCAGGAAACTGTATAATCTATTGCCCTAACAGGTTTGATAGTATACTATTTTTATTCCAAGTGGGTTTGTACCCTCATTCTAGTTTTACAACAGTAACTTGCACTCTCTTAAGTGGACACACTATTAACGCAGCAAAAATCTTCAATAACTGACATTCTGTTTCACATAACTGGGGAAAAAAATTACCTTATGCAGCCCTTTTAATGCCATCACAACCCATACCCCAGTGAGAAGGAGAATGGCAGGAAAGGGAAATGGGATCTTCCTCTCACCTGAGAGTAAAACAGGGAGTATGTGTAGGCAAATAAGAGAAGGCAAGCTCCCTGAACCCAAAGCATGACAGAGGTGCTGTGAAGGCTAATGAAAATCTCTGAGGCAAGGGCAGCTGGCAGATGAGTAATACATAAGGAGACTACAAAAAGAATGGGTGGATACAAGGAGCTGTCAGTATGTGCAATGAATGTGCCTGAAGAAGCGATGAAGCAGGACACCTCATCAAAGAGTAGGACACAATATTTCACTGGCCACTGGAGGAGAAGGGAGAGCAAATGTGTACAATCAGAGCCCCACCCAACCCGGCTTTGAACACCACCAGGGATGGGGCATCCACAGCTTCTCTTGGGCAACCTGTCCCAGTGCCTCACCACCCTCACCACAGTAAAGAATTTTTTTCCTAATATCTTATCTAAACCTACTCTTTTAGTTTGAATCTATTCCCCCTTGTCCTGTCAATACACACCCTTATAAAAAATATCTCTACATCTTTCTTGTATGCTCCCTTCAGGTACTGGAAGGCCACAACTTGGTCACCCAAAGCTTTTTCTTCTGATCTTTATTTACAGTGGGAAGCATTTTTTTTTTCCCCAGTCCCAGCCTGCTGTCCACCCACTCAAGAGGTTGGAAGAGAGATGCCATTGAAGGCTAATGCAAAAAAGTTAAGCACCTCAGCTTTCTCCTCCTTTGTTGTTACCAGTTTTCCAGCATTGTTTATTGGAGAGGTACACCTTCTTGAACCTTCCTTTACTGGTTAACATACCTGTAGAAGCCCTTATTATTTTTTCCAGGTTCAGTTCCAGCTTTGCCTTGGCCTTCCTCACCCGATCCCTACACAATCATACTTAGTCTCCTTACTCTTCCCAGGTTACCTGACCTTGTTTCCATCACCCATGCATTTGCTTCTTTCCCTTTAGTCTGAGATCCCTACTCAGCTATGCCTGTCTCTTGATTTCTTTGCTTGATTTCTTGCTCCAGGGAATTTTTAACTCTTGGCTATATAGAAGACTTCCTTAAAGATCTGCCATATCTGTTTTATCCCTTGTTCCTGAGGGCAGTCTCGAAGGCGATCATATTGACTAACTTCTAGAAGAGCTGAAAGTTTTCTTTCCTAAAGCTCAGGGGCCTAACTTGACTCCTTACCTTAGGACATTTATGCACGAGGATTTCAGTTCATATGCAATACAGGCGTTCAAAGACTTATTTTGTCAACAAACTGATGAGATTGCACTTCTTTAAAAGTTTTTCCTTCGCTGCTATAAAAACCCCAACTATGTGTTTTCTTTCTGAGACAACAGATCTGGTCTAGTTGTACTACCTTAAAATTATAGCAGGGACAAGACACAGTAATTTGTACCATGAGACAGCAATGAAATTTGAACACAATACATCTCTTTATGATTGATCTCACCTACTTACATTACAGAAAAAGATACAGCCGTCTTATCTCCAAGGTGGTTTTCTGACTAGATACTTGAAATCTACACACTACCCCAGAGCAAGCATTTTCTTTTTTAGCCTGTAAAGTGTACACTTTTCTTTAGCTTTGTTTGGTAGAGAAGAAAAGGTCTCATTCACAAAGAGCACACTGACATTTTTATGACCACACAACATAAAAGGAACCTGAAGGCACACATCTTTACCTGTTGATTTTGGTAGGCTGTCACTGTGGTGAAAACTGTCTCAGGGAAGTTAAAAGTTTTCACCCCATCTCCTGAAGGAACTGGTTTTGTAGGAGAAAGATCACTGCTGAAATCTTTGCGGATGACATGAACACGAGGCTGGTATTTATGCATTGAATGTAAGATTATCTGAAGAGAAAACAAAAGGAAAAGGACTTTTTTTCTTTCCCAAATATTTTGCACCACATCCAGACGTACAAGAAATCAGGGATGGAGTAAGAGCTAATATGACAAAAACTACCCTTTTCTTACAAGCATGTATGAGACAAAGTTTGTGCTAAGTGCAGAGAGAAAGCTGCTTTATTGCTTTATAGGGTCAGACAACAGTTTGAGGAAAAGCACTGAAATAGGGAAAAAGCTCCATAACTCTGGAGAGCAGCTACAGACATGTGCTGGACAAGACAGAGGAGCATCAAAGCAGCAGCAGCACCCTTTCAAGACTGAGAGGAGCAAGGCTGGGACAGCAGGCACCACAATTAACTTCTAACTTACATGGCCTTGATCATCAAGCTCGTTGTTGGTCAGCTTGAGCTTGTCAAAACTGACCACCTGTCTCATCCAGGTGTCTCCAGAAGCCAGTGAGTCAGGGTGGATGTAAACCCTTGGGGGTACTGGAGAGTCAGCATTGCCAGCCACCATCCACTTGGAGCTATGATACACATACCTGAAAAAGGAAGGGTAGACCTAAGGGAAGTTGTCACTCACTGGCTGTAGGAATATGTCCAGAGCTCCTCCTCCCCTACCACCCTACCACATGCAATTCAAGCTCTCATTTGCAGTCAGGGGAGAATGTGCTTTATTGCAACCTCCTACCTTCTAAATGAAAGCCAGATTATCCCTGAGCCACTTGTTCAGACTTGATTCCTTATTAAAACCGCCTTGCAGTTATTTTGCCAGTAAAACTCTGCCACATGTGCCTTCTCAACTCCTTAACCCTCTCTGAGCCAGAGTAAGAGGCTGGAAAATATGGATAAACAAAGTCCTCTCTGAAAATATTAATAAATGCCCTGTAATTTCTGGAAATTGGCACTGGATCCCATACCAGACTTTGCAAAACACATGTGGCTTCACCTAGAAAGGGCAACAGCCAATAGATACCACTAGAACAATTACTAAAACAGAATTTCTGGTTTGAAATGTTGCAAAACAGGAAATTCCATATGGTATTACATACATTGGGACTAAAGGAAAAAAATTATTTTTGTTTTCCTGACCTTTTGTGATCTTTTGTGTTCCTGATCTAGCCATCCTATATATACCATAAATTTTTCTACCACAGCTTTGCCTAGACGCTTTTTTTTCTGTCCTGCAGCTAGTTCCATCTAAGGCGTTTCACAAAGAGTCCTGCTAACACCTCTAATTCTGCCCTGTGCTGCCCCTCATTGGGTCTCTACTCAGCTCTGCTAAGCTGTTTCAGTCTTTACCTACAAAGAGTGACTAATTTCCTGTATTTTCACAAGAAATGAAAAGAAAAGAAAGGTCTGTTCCTTTCATTGCTAGTTTGCTCAATGGACAGAAACAAAGGGTAAGACAATATATTTATTTTCAATGTTAATGTTGTCAGAACCACACTCAAAGAAAGAAAAAAACCCATCCAGGTGAGTATCAAACACTGTCTTGATGCTTCCCCAGGAAAAGCATTTTACTGAGAAACACTCTGCACAATTTGAGAGCAAAAATGTAGTATTTAGCATTTGAAGCATAGGGTCAATTCCAAATCCCTGAAATCTGGTTCAGTCAAGACTGTTAAGGGAAAAGGGGTCTTTTAATAAGAATACATAAATCACCTCTGTCTGGATAGTTTTCTGGGATGTAGGGGACCATGAGTTTTCCAGAGTACACTTAAGGGTCAGAAGCCCATTAATATCAGAGAAACCTCTTCCTGTCTTTCAACTCAGTGGTGGAGTGTTTCTCAATGACTCCACACTCTGGGTCAGGGACCAATATTCACTGTGGCTGCTGTGCTGGACAGTGAATGCTTTTAAAATTTAAATCACCCAATTCAGTTCAGGCCAGACCTGAGGTTCCTATCTTAGTTCAGGGGCTGCTTGCCCATTTCTTTCTTGCTGAAGTAGTTTTAGAGACTGTAGACTCCCCATTGATAACTCCACTTATCAGTTTCCTCAGAAAGTTGTAGCGAATCAAGTCAATTAGGAAATGCATGACAGGGAACTCCTCAATTAAAAACTGCTATTTGAAAAGAAAAAGATTTAGATCCAAAGAGACTATATTAAACCTCTGGATTTGTGTCTCATGATTCTGGTCAAATCAACCACGTTGATATAAATCAACATGGTCTCCTCCAGCAGACCTTTGCAATGGTGTATAATGGCAGGTGTCCTTGCTAGGCTGTCATTAACAGTAAGTTATTATAAGGTTCCTACCTCTGCACTTAAAAAGCTTACCTGTATCTCTTGTTATCCACAGGGACAATGTCCATGGCAATATAATACTGCTGGTGGGGATCCAAGCCTGTAATTTTCACCCTCATGGCTGGAAACATTCTCCTAGGAAAATAAGAGTAGAAATAAGGGGGGAAAATGGTGAATAAGGATGCTGAAGTGGGTCCTTATACCTCTTTCTGACACCAGGACCATGCTATTTTACACAGCCCAATACTTGCTATGACTCCTCTGGACTTGGTGTGGGTAGAAAAAACTGTGCTGGCAGTGGTTTGAATCTTCAAATTTTTCCCACTTAGAAAAAGGAGTGGCAGGATAACAACCTGTAAGTAATAAATACTCACAGTCAAGCACTCTGTTTCCAGTTCATAGCAGACAATTCTACGATACTTTACAGAGATTGTCCTCTCTAAGGCATTTTTAGGTAGTATTTTGTGCAATGTTGTCTTTCTATGCCAGGTCTCTATTAAGCATTTTCTCCTGATAGGCAAATTATGAAACTATACGCCAAGAAGAATCAATTCCCAGCTTTTCTCTTGTCTGAGCTCAAGTCTGGTTCTGCTGTACACTAGTCACTGCTCTGGAAGTGTTTGTAGCAAAGCAATAATTTCAGAAGAGAACAGATCGGAACAATTTTAACCTTGAAGATGTCAGTGATAGTGTGACTATGGCATAATTTCTCATTCTTAAAAACTTTATGGTGGCCAGTAGACCAATATCTGTTCTATACCTCCCTCAAACAGCACACTAAGGGAATTGCTTGTGCCATATTATATTTGCAAGTAATGTGATATTTTCACGTCTTCGTGAAATCTGAGGAGCAGAACTGCATGAAGTGCAGACGAAATCAAGCAGCAGAGCAGAGGACTGAAAGAAATCCTGCGTTGTTTCACTGGCTGTTAACTCAAACCTGAGCTCTACTTGACTAGCTTCTTAGCCCTTATCTGAGAAAAACTTGAGTGGAGGTCCTATAGGATGGTGTTACTCAATTGCATGACTTCTACCTAGAAAATGCAAAGGTTTGGTAGGAGACACTCTGAAAGTATTGCATGCTCATACAAAATTACATTCTACTTCTCTGACAAGTAGGCATATCCTTATGGAATGAAGGTTTGGATGGAAGGAGGATATTAAAGGGGAATTTAAAATCATAATGCCAAAATCGTGGAAAAGTGTACAAGAAATGTTGTCCTCTTTTTCCAGGAGCCATCCCCAGAAACCATCATGACACTTTCCTTTCTATTTAGTGAGAAGCAGTGAAACATCAGAGAAGAAGATTTAATTCTCCCAGAATTTCTGTTTCGCAAGGTATTACTAGTGGACATAGCCTGGAGGAGGGAGAAAACAGGAAATTTTGTGTCAACATCTCCAAACATCTCTTAAACTTTTCACTGCAGGGATGTGACCATGACAAGATATTTTATTCTTTCCCATCCAAGCCACATAGACCCACTAGCAGAAGAGAGTGAGAAGGAGGAGGTTGGTGTTCAGCCTTTACCTTACCCACAGCTCTTTCATTTCAGACCACACTCAGAAGATAATTTCTGATCTATTAGCAACTGCAACTGCTTTGGAAAAGGGCCTTTCTCTTGGGGAGTGGGGAGAGCACCACAGCACAGCTGCCGCAGCACAGCTAACCCAAGTTATGAGAGACATAAAACTGTCAGAAAAATCATCTGCAGAAACCCTTCAAGGACAAAACAGATTAGTGCAGCTGATGGTGTGAGTTTACTAGTGAAATGACTTGGGGGGGGGGGGCGGGGAGAAGAATAATGGATTAGCCTTTGGTGGCTTGAGGGCATTACCTTGTTTCTGCCACAATAGCTCATTAAATCTGCCAAGCCAAGTGGGTACAGGATGTGGCATTTTACAGTCCAGCTCTCCTTAATTAGAGAGAGGTGGCTTGGGAGCAGCTAAAGAGGTAGGTCATGTTTCAGAGGGTTGATGAGAAATGCAGGATTAAATCTGAGTCTCTTTGGGTCCAAGACTACACACTGTATTGGGAAAACTGAACACTCTGTGTGTCCCAAGAAGCTCCCTCCAAATCTGCAGCCCCGTGTAAAGTTGCAGTATAGCCTGTGGGGTTGTTGCTGATGAAATACCTTGTAAAAGATTACCGCAGACCATTCAGCAGGCTTAGAGGCTAATCTCTAAAATGATCGGAGAGAGCTCAGCTGATCCCACTGCTTTCTCTAAGGTTTAAGTGAACTTTTAAAGTTTTGTAAATTATTACTGTTTTTCTTTTTCTGTGGGTGTAAAAGTAACTTAGGTTTCTTTGCAATAAGGATGTGGCCTGGAACTGTCACAGCAGGTCTCCAGCAGCACTGCTGCATGGAAAGGGAAAAATGGAAAAGGCAGAGGCAAACAGTGGTGACTTAGGGATGTACCATGTATAATCCTGGTAAAGTCCTCGTTCTCTGTGTTTCCTTTTGGTTGGCTCTTGGTTGGCTCTTGGTCCCCCAGAGGCACCAGCCTTATAGAAGACAAGGGGTTCAAAGGTTTGGAAGGAATTCAGGCCATTTGAATATGGCTTATGAATATGATGTGAATAAACAGTCACGAATCTTTCATCTGGACAGGTATCAGCTAGCTTTATAGCCAACAGCTACAGACATGAAGGCTGTCTGTTTTCATTGGGAACATCTGATGACATCTGATATATTTTAGGAAGAGGTTTTATATCAGCAGCAGTTTGGGATGATCAAGTTATTTATATGTTAGCTTTACCACTCAGCAGGAAAACAAGTCTTCCTAAACTTAGACTGTGAACTTACACACAGTACCCTTTTAGGAGAAATACGATGTGATATGAAATAAGTTATTAAATTACTTTAGGACCACTTACTAGTGTTTTAAAAAGCATTTTAGTAACAACCATGTATCTCAATCTACTCAATTTCTGTTTTCTTTCATAATGAAAGTGAGGTTTATGAACATCAAATGTGATGAAAACTAATGATATATAAACATCTCTAAAACGTGATCAGTATTATCCAACACTGTAGTGTACTGATATTAAGAACCATGTTTGTGAACTTTCAGCAAAAGAAAGAAGTAGTTGGATTTTGGCAACTAGCATAGTATTTTTGTTGTTGTTGTTTAAAATTTTCATTTAACATAAAAAATAGAGTTTGATATTCCTCTGTGAAAATTGTTCAAAGAAGGTATATCAGGTGTAACAGGTGTATCTCCAAACTGGATTTTTTCCTCCAACAGAATAAAGCTTCAGTTTTTAACCCTTAAATTAGAAACTTAAATAAGATTAGATTTGCATAAGGGTGACATCTGTTAAATACAAACCCTAAAATGAAGGGCTGTGCTCTTCAGTTGTAGCAAAAGACAATTTATCTATTGACAGTAACAGAGTAGTCATTTCCCAGACATAAAAAAATCCAATAGAGAAACTCTACAAAATAATCTGGTTTAAATTTGCAGATTTAGTGTGTACAGTGTTTACAGTGTGTGTGAGTTTACAGGGCAGCCTGAAGTTATCATTGGTATTTCATATCTTATATTTCCTTGCATTTAAGACTGGTGCCAAATTATATTTCTTTATAAAAAAACAAACGTAATGTGTGAGGGAAAGAAAGATAAGGCAAGGCAGGGCAAGGCAAGGTAACAGAGGAATGCCTTTCTGTTTCCCTCTGCAGTATGGGATCATGTAGAGGAGATGTTTGTTTTGAGAGGAAAAGCTGAGGGCAGGGCTTGGGAGCAAAAGGATTTATTGTTTATGAGGGAGAGGGAGATTAGCAGATCTTCTCAGTTGCTCCCAAAGGGGATATTTTTCTGGAAGCTGGAGAAAGCTTATCTGACCCACTGGACCAGGACCTCTAAGCAGCAGTTTGGTAGCTGTAGCCTGCCAGCCCTTGCTCTGAGAAGTCCTCTCCATGGGCCCCTTCAGCATCAATAGAGCTTCAGTACAAAATCCCTGCTACTGTCACTAACTGAAGAGCACTGGAAATGAAAAATAATGCTTGGTAATGTAAACAGCCCTAAGTACTTGTTTCAAACAATTCAGACTCATGATTTTAGGGAGGCAAGGAAACTCCATGCAAAATACCATTTTGCATACAGGAGTCAGGAGAGGACAAGGTCACAAGTTCACAAGTTCCACTCGCTTCTGGCTTTTTCCACTCTTATTACCAAGCCTGGCCTCAGCACTTTGGTTTGAGCCATCCTGCGGTGTGGATATGATAACTGTGATACGACACATGAGATAATTTCCCCTATTGTCGAGGTGAGATCCTGGCTCTGTGACAGGTAAAACCTGAGTTCCCAGAGCAATGTGGATGTGCTGGTATGCATGGTCACACTCATATAACCACCTCCATAAACAGTAGGCAGCCATTCCCTCCCAGAGAAGGACTCCAAGCACTCTTTATAGTGTATTCCTGCAGGAATAAGTGCACATTGTTTCCCACTTTGGGCAGTACTTCTACGCATCAGTTAACAGTACCCCTGCAACTCAGGTGGCCATAGACTTTAGATAGGGATTGTAGAGATGACGGGAGAGATTCAAATTCCTCTGTTGATGTTGCCAGGGTACAAGCATGATCACTGTTAGTAAAGGAGGGGAGATTAAAAGAGTTAAAGGTGGTTTTAGGTCTAGTTGCTCAAATCAGTATGGCTCAGTGTTTAAGCTGAATTTATTTTATTTTATACAGGGTTTAAGATTGCCTCTCAAACAAAAAGGAGATAAAGGTGATTGCAGATTTGAACACGCTGCAGATGACAGCCATTTGCATCTTTTGCACAAGGAACAAAGGTGTCTTATTATAAGCATCCGATTAAAATCTGAATAACAATGTTTTGATGAAAGGGAAGAAAGGAAAAGTCATAAGAGGACTGGAATAAGTTATGAAAATAGACAAAAAAATACATCTGTAAATATAGCATCAAGAAAAGAAAAAACAAAGCAGAATTAAATATGGGTAAGAGTGGGAGTCTGAAAGACAAAAAGTGTAGTCAGGATATAGCTCCAGAAATATGTTTGAAATGAGAATGTAGGTTAGAAACTAGCATTACATAGCAAAACAGAAAGACGTTGTGTGGTCAAGCAGGAACCAAGCAGTGTCTTACAGGTCACAGAAAATTAAGGAGCAGCTGTAGTTCTAGGCAACTGAGTCTGTAATTATAATGGCTTCCAAAACAAGAAGGTCTTACAGGATTCAAACAGGCTTTCCAAGGAGAAAGCAACAAGAGCAAAATCTTCTGTGGGGAAGGAAGCAGATGCAAATTACCCTGTGCATCTCTCACAATTTCAATAAGTAGTAGGAAATCTTGAGGAAAGAACACGACCTCTGCTATTTTTTCCAGAAATTATACATACTAATCTATGAGATGCATCATGTATCATGCATCCCACATGGAGAAACAGGACTACCTGAATCAGCTCTCACCCATCACTAACACATTTTCTTCTGAAAGAAAAATGTTTAACCAGAGAAGTTAAACATCTCATTAGTAAATGTTATCATATCTGTAAGGTCCATCCTCAATAAACAGGCATATTACCTAAACAAACTGCCCAGCTCTTCATTTTACTTTGCAACAGTCAACCTACAAATATAGTCCACAGGAAAAAAAAAACCACAACCAACCAAACCCCTCCAATATTATTATCATCACTTCTGGAGAAGAATATCATCAAGCAGAAAAAAACCATATATTTAGTAGCTACAGCTACATAGATTTTCTGTGGGTAGCCAGTGATGAGACAGTTGGCCATCAGAAGTCAAGTAAGCATCTCCTTTCAAGGAGAAAGAATATTATTTAGGATTATAAAGAATTTATGATTTGCACAGTAAGACATGTAAGTGATACATGGTCTTCCATTAGTGGAAAAATTATCCAAACTGGAGCTTGCAAAGGCACTTGAGAATATTATTAATGGTGCTATAGGAAAAAAATCTTGGAAAGAGAAGTATTCTTTACAGTCCATACAGGTTTTCCTATGTCTATTTCCTTCTAAAAATTATCAAAATATCTATTGCTTTGGACTCCTTCAATAAAGTTAGTGTGTCTGTCTTTCTTCACATGTGCTATTAAACACTTCTGACAGATGCATGAATAAGAAAGGAGGTATTTCATCAGAAGATGCAGACCAAGATTTTGACCAAAGAATAGAGACCTCTCTTCCAAAACATGAGCCAAAATCTAAGAAAATCAAAACAATTTTTTCTTTTTTTGCTTGGGGCCAAGTTGAAACAAAGAGAAAAAGATCAGATGAGGGAAGTGAATTTGAATGTTTGACTTTGCAATGCTCCTTTACTAAATGGGGTTCATTTTTCCTGGCATGGTGGTTCTCTGGAATTGTAGTTCAGCTCCATCATGTACCCATATGGAAGGAACTATGTACACCTCACAAAAATTCTTAATCAGCTTTCTCTTATTGCTGTGGAATTAGGGATAGATATCTATTGTTTGATATGGTGATATGCGATGCCGGAAGACATATTTGTCTGAAAGGCAACATGAAATTGCAAATTCCAAGAACCATTGCTGACATTAAACATTTCAATTCATATATGTCAGAACAATAGTTTTAGATCAAAAGTGTCAAAATACATAGTTCCAATCAACAAATAAGAGTTTACAGCTCAAGGAAAGCTGATGAAAATTTCCAAATAGGAGCTGTTTAAAAAAAAAAAAAAAAAAGGAGAGAAAAAACACACCCAGAAGCGCATTTAATTCTGCGTATTTTCCTAAAAACTTTTAAGGAACTACAGAATCTTTTTTTTTTTTATATGTACATCAGCCTGACCAAACTCTTCCAAAGTATTTAATTTCATTATATCTCTCCCCAGAATGTTTTACCGTGGTTTTTATTCCACAACCCTTCCTTTTCCAGGATCCCTGCCAATGATGTCAAGGCTTCTGTGAAAAGTTACATTGAACTATTTGCAAAATTCCAGCAGCATTGATGTTTCAACTTTTTTTGATGACTTAAAAAAAAAAAAGAAAAGCATCCTATAATCAGGGTATGGCTTTTTAAGATGTCAGGAAGGTCAGCTACTTCATTCAGAAAAGTGTGAGCTGATGAGATCATCTTCATACCACTAAGTTCTGGGCATTTTAGTTTGAACTAGTGTTGGTAGGATTTGAGATATTTATGCTGCTCTTTAGTCTATCTACTCTATGTATCATAAGAGAATTAAATATAGTTAATCCAACAGGTAATAATGTATTATTTTACATTTCTCAAACAGCATGGTCCAGGCACCAGGATAATCAAGTCAGAAGCAAGGAAGTTGGTTCTTCCAGTGCCATATTTAATGACGCTGGAGAGATCACCTAATCTGTTTAGGTCTTGATTTCACCCCCTATGAAAAGGGGATGATAATGAATTTTCTCTGTGTTTGCTTTGACACCTCCAGAGAAAAGGTGTTGCACAATAGTAAGTGATATAATTCCTGTTACTTTGCCTCTTCCATTTGAGAGAGAAAGGCAAAACCAGCAGCCCACCCTGTACTGATGCAAGATGATTCCTGTGCCACAGAGATCGTATATCTAACACCGGTAGCTAATCTGGCTCTGATAATCTTTTTGGGTGTTCATCTGGGTTATATGTTCAATATAACTTTTTCAAATTATCTGGACTTCCTGGGGCTACAGAGCAATAGCACTAACTTCACAAGAACAGAAAACAACAAGTCTAGTTGTTCTGGAAAATTCTGAAAGCACAGGTATAAAACAACACTATAAACAATAGAACACCGTGGGTTTTCCCCAAAACTTGAGGGGAAATCTCTTCTGCATCCCTGAGGCAGGGTCGGGACAGCTCCCAGGGCAATCACGGGATCTGCTCGCCGTGGCGGGATCTCTCCGTGGTGCTGACATTCTCCTTCGCTCCGTCAATCGGAATTAAAACCTCATTAGGTGGAGGTGAGGAACAGACTGTTAACGCAAACGTGGCTAAAAACCCTAGTTTGGGGGATCTAGAAATGTACAACTAGCTTCAGGTTTTGTTTTGGCAAACGGACGTCTAGCTAGGCGGCAATGAAGATCTTTCCCTTGGCTAACAGCATGGCAGAGTGGGTTTTTCTTTCTAAAAGAATCTCGCTTATTAGTGGCTCTTCCCAATCTCAGCTGATGTAGTATGAGCTGCAATAGCCAAGGAAAACATTAAGCCTGCACATTTTTTTATACAGGACATCATTAACACTTTATCTATGTAGAACTGCAGGAAGACATTCATTTGGTGCAAAGGTGAGTTTGAATTTCACTGTATTTGAGATCAAATCAACTGGCTCATGAAGTGCTATGGAAACTTGAAAGGAAACTCAAATGGCTCACCCGCAAATGCATAACTCATTTTAAATTCAGTACAGCCAACAATACAACGATTGTTTCCTGATTTACTTATTCAAAGAAAAGACCATTCTCAACAGTTTCCTGCAGCTGTGAGTTGTCCTTTGTAGCCACTTATTCAAGTAGTAATATGAAACAACTTTACTTGTCTTAAGAAAGCTAGTAGGAGATACAGCTCTGAAACTCTGAGAGCCATTTAATTTTTCCTGTGTGTTTATTCCTTTGGCTCATCAAGAAGGAAAAAGAAAAGTTTCTTTCTCCAAAAAAAAATTTTTTTTTTACTTTGTTTGGTTATGATTTCTTTTTTAACTAGATAGAAAACCAGAGGTGTCTTACCTGCCTGCTTTTGTGATGATCATCTCTGTCCCAATGTCATGAAATCTTTTCCAGAGGTCAGCACACTGCAGCTCTACCTGGATCTCTTCCATGGATGAAGGCGGAGGAGGCTGAGGGCCTGAGCCACCAGATGTAAGGTCGGAATGGGAGCCAAATGAGCAGGATGTCCTTTCTGTCAGTACCTCTGTGTCTGACCCAGTGCTCTGCTCTGAGTCTGCAAAGTAAAGAAGTCAGGTAAGATGCTCCAGTTCTACCTACTGTGAGTGTTAAAAGGAGGGAAGAGGGAAGTCAATACAGAAAGTGCTAAAGAATAGTACAATGCCCTTTTATAAGGTGTATATATGTATAACACATATGTATTTATGGTTTGTTGTGATTTGGGGCTTTGGGTTTCCAACATGATATCTGGCATTTTTGTAAAGTTTTAGAAACAGCTGAAAAAAGGACCCTCAGCATAAAATAAAAATAGTAGCAAGCAATGCAGGGGATGAAGTAAAAAATATAGATTAAAAATAGAAATGAAAAAAAATTCATTCAATCCATAGTTTCAATCTAGGATTAGATGGGCTTACTGGAAATCTACATTACATGTAATTGAATATTGTCCCACACTACTATTGAAGAGCTGGTTATTTTTAAACAACACTTTTTTTTTTTTTCATTTTAACATCTTTTTCATCAAAAACAATGAACAGGTTTTTATTTTGTTATTTGACAGCACTGTTTTGGAAATGTTTTATTTGCTCCTATAAAACTTTTTTTTGAAGAATGATATTTCCTGAGAAGATAACCATGCAGCTTTTGGTGAATAAAATGCTCTAGGCTACAGAAGAACAAAAAAAGGTGATAGTAAACATATGGAATATGTTACCAAGGAAAGCAATTGAAGCAAACTGCAGAAAAGAGCACACAACAACCTCTATGAGGGAGGAGAAGAAAAAGGCTTGCTCAAAAAACAAGCAACCAAACAAAAAAGTGAGGTTCAACTAGTTTGACAAGTCCAGGCTGTCATATTTGGTCAGGGAGCCATTTCTTTGCAAAAATATCTCATTAATGTGTTAGGTAGGTACGGTGTTTATATACAGCCTTCATTCTCATATTGTAGGGCTAAGATGAAATTTTGCAAATAGCAGTGTTATTTTGAAACAGGGTGCATGCCCACATTATATCCAATTAATTCACAATACATTCTGCAAAGCAATGCGTTTATGTCTTGAGTCTGATTTTTGACAAAGTGGCATCAGTGTTATATAGATGATTAACAGCAGAATAAAGTCATGTGACACACTCCACCAAAAGGCTCAGGAAGAGCTCTGTGGATTTCAAACAAGATTCAGAAGCACTATTCTTGAGTGTCCTCATTGATCACATAAGTACAAGCAATCTCAGTGAAGGAATAAAATGGCTATTTACACATATTCTCTGCACTTAAAAAGAGATATCCCTGTCTGCAAGGGAAACCTAAGGGGACAAAAAGTAACAATCTGTGCTAAAAATGTGATTAAATCATACCATCTAAAATTCCTTCCATACCAAACAAATGCCTTTAAGAACCCTGAGGTCATGGAGGCTGAGTCTCAGGTTTACAGTGTTTCTGAGAGACAGTGTCTGCAGGAGCAAGCTTGCACATCAGTGCAGAGGGCAACAGTCAAGAAGATGCAGGCGGTGAAGATACCACCTGTGGAACCACCAGCTCCATCTCCTGCCACATAGAAACATTTCTGGAAAATCCATTTTGCTGCAGTGGTATGGACACAAAGTCTTTGGCTGATAGTATAAGAGAAACTTCCAGTCCCAAGTGTCACCAGGAAGCATTTATCTTTTGTGAGAGCCCTAGGTGATATCACTGGACAGTGGACATTTTGCTCAAAGGATGTTTCCAGAAAGCTCTGTCAATTATTTAGACAATCTGCCAGTACAATGTAGAAATTCTGTAGGACACTAGAAAGGTTCAGGATGTATTGCTCCCAATCCGTTTTGGACAGGGACTCCTTTATGTCTCCCACAGACTTCCAAGTTGGGCTGAAGCCTTAATAGGTCAATACTTCTAAAGGAGTAGCACAAAATTACCAATGTAGGATTGTTACATAGAGACCAGTACTACACTCAAAACCGATGTCCTAGACATAAGATGATTCAAGATAATACAAGATACTTGCTGAGGTTCTGTGGCCACAAGACAAGAGGTCACTATGCTTACGTCTTCCTAGGGATGGTTAATCACTTTGTCCTTCAACAAAAAGGAAGAGGATGCTTCAAAAATCACAGTAAGACCTTTCTATATATCTGCTTATGTGCTGAACCAGAAGTCTTACATCTTCTCTGAGGTCATAGAATCACAGAAGTCACTAGGTTGGAAAAGACCTCTGAGATCATCAAGTCCAACCTACGACTGATCACCACCCCATGTCAACTAGACCATGGCATTAAGTGCCACATCCAATCTTTCCTTAGACACCTCCAGGAACAGTGACTCCACCACTTCCCTGGGCAGTCCATTCCAATATCTAATCACCCTTTCTGTGAAGAAATTCTTCCTAATGTTCAACCTAAAATAAAGCTAAACTACACTGAGAGTCTAAAGAGACTGGACCTAGGGAAAACCTTCCATTATGGAGTTCTCCTTCTAAAATGAGGCACCAAACTGTAGATTTGAATCTAAAGAGGCTGGTTTAGGCCACATCACTTGTGCTTGGTTCAGGCGCTCAGAAACTCAATGCGTCCTCTGAAGCAGTATGGTAAATGGCCAACAGATGGCACTTGGCTAGATGCTGTCCCTACATCATTCCAGCATTTCCTGGACAACTTTTCAAACTGGGTGTGTGGTTGGAGCCTTGGGGATCCCTGGAAATTAAGCAGAACTGCACGCTGCAGAAAATTAAATATCAGAGGCTTAAGCCCCCCCTCACTGATTTTATGCTGATATCATCCCATTGACTTTACAGACTTTTGGAGGGTTTTTTATTATTATTATGGAAGTGGAAGGAGAGCCACAACCTTTATTTATTAATCCCTTTCCCATTTCTACCACCTCCATATCACCCTGGAAATCCTCAACTCATAGTTTCTTTTCATCCTCAAATTCCCAGGCTTTTTTTGGCAGATAGGAAGTAAACACCATTCTCACAAGTGTGGTGACTCTGAGGTCAGTATCCCCACTGAATGTCCCAAGATAATGGACAATATCCTGCACCAATACCATGTCTCCTGGGATCAGAACCTTCTTACACAAATCAGTGAGGTGCTACTGCCTGACTTCTTTCTACTACTCAACGGGTTAGTGTTCCTCATGTAAATTCCTTGGGTTTTCATCAGTCTGGTACAAGAGGCAAACCAGCATGTGAAATGTTAAAAGACATTAATTTTCTAAGCAAATTCATACATGAATCTTCAGCAGAATTTTCACTGCAGCTGGAGCACAGCAAGGATAATGCTCCCCTTATTTAACCAGTAAGAGCTCAGTTTAGTCCTTGGCCATACCACGCAGCTCATGAACTCAACAAATGTTTTACTCCAAGCTAACAAAGAATGTAAACTACAGGAGTGAAAACAATGACAAAAACCTTATATAAATGAAACACCACCTACCCAGAGGAGCCCAACAGATTTATTTTCTTCCTCTCATTACTTTTTCTTCTCTTTTTTTTTTTTTGTATACATGTAGATATCTAATGTAGATCCTGTCAGATTCCATTAGCGTAAAGATTTCTCTTGGGTGGAATGTGGCAGCTGTTACAAGCTGTTAAGGGTTTGGTTTTTTACTGTTTATTTTTGTTTGCAAGGTTTGTGAACATTTAGTGCAACAGGTGGTCCTGCAGTTGACTTGCTGGCCACTAGGACCTGCCAACTAAAAAGAAAGTACAAAATCCTGAACATGTAAGGGCTAAGAAAATTTGGAGGACTTTGGGGGGTTTTGGGATGGTTTTCTCTTATCAACTCAGCAGAAATTAGCAGAGCTGATACCTTGTTTTGCTGCTGGTTGCAGATAGATCTCAAGGTTCTTTTCAGATTTCTAATTTTCAAGCTGGCTTACTGCCATCCCACAAAATCAGCAGCATAAAACCCATGCACATAGCAGTGTGACCATACTGAAATCTTGAGACAAAATGTCACAACCGTATGAAAGTGAAAGAACAGAAACTCACTAAGTCCAAGCACTTTGGAAAAGTGGAAATTCATCTGACTGTGGTGAGTCAGCTGCTGCTGCAACTACTTCAGGTACACAACAGTTTTCCCCTGATTACTAATACTTGGGCAAAAGCTAAAAAAAAACCTCAGTAACTTCAAAAATACATGAGAAGTCTGGCTGTGGCAAAGACAGCAGGAGCAGCAGAGGTGAAGCAAACTGCAGAAAAGTTTGGAGTTCAACAGAGACGTTCAAATTAGCATGGTATGTTTTGCACAGCTGATCCAGCAATTGCTCTTGCTGTAGGCAAAGGTTTCTATACACTTGGTGATTGTAACCATATGGACCTACTATACACAATAAATAACACAAAGATAGTTCTGCAGGTTCTTATATATTATTTTATCCCCCTGAACTTTTCCATTCACTCACATAACCCTACTACCTTAATCACCCCTTCTTCCAGCATTAGGCCCATTATCAACTTCATACAGCTAGAATTTATAACCTGTTTACCACAGATAATAGAGCTATAGAATGATTAAGGCTCAAAGGAACCTTTTAAAAATCGTCTATTCTATCCCCCAATAATATTCATTATTATTATATTTGTGACTGCAAGTTGCAACCAATATCAGGATTTTACTGATATGGAGACAATACAAGCTTTTCCAAACCAAGAACTTCCTCTATACTCCTGCTATATTGCAATCTCAAACAGCAAAAAGAAGCATTCAAATAATTAATTTCCAGCCTAAGACCTTTTTGTGAAACCATAGCAGGACAAAATGACATTAACATCAACAAGACTCAAAAAGACAAAACCAGAAGATGTAGAGATGGGGAAATGTGGCATAGACAAATGAAGAGACCTGATAACAGTCACAAGTGAAATCAATAGAAGACTAGCTGATTCTGAAGGATTGCTCTGGCACTTTAACTTCTAAGGCTTCTTCATCCCCCTGAAATATAGTTTTATAAGGTGTTTTTGTAAGACCAAAAAAGCATGTAAGATACATTAAAAAAAGGCTGCTCCTACCAAAACTAACACTGAGTATAAGGCCAGTAGTGTTGTTACACATCTATAT